AAATTTAAAATGCACAATTCTAGTGAGTTTTTGGAAGAATTCATGGGTCCCCTCATATATTGCTGGTGACAGTGCAAATTGATATAATTCTTTTGGAAGTAAGATGGTAACATATAGTAAAAACATGTCCTTTGTTCCAGTAATCTGAAATTGACACTTAAGGACTAACCCTAAGCGAAGAAGAACTACTCAACGCAATGTTATTAATAATCGTGAGCAACTAAACCAAACCCACTGTCCTCGAATCGATTCCGACTCATAGCAACCCTACAGGACAGAGTAGAACTGCCTCATAGGGTTTCTAAGGAGCAGCTGGTGGATGTGAACTGCTGACCTTTTGGTTATCAGCTGAGCACTTAACCACTGTGCCACCAGGGCTCCGAGGCACTAAAAGGAATGCAAATATTTAACAGTATGGAAAGAGAGTACGAATGCAGGCACAATGCTAGGGACTCTGAGAAGCCCTGGTGGCGCAGTGGTTAAAGTGTTCGACTGCTAATCCAAAGTTCAGCGGCTCAAACCCACCAGCCACTCCGTGAGCAGCGGGTTTACACGTGTGCTTCAGGTCGCTATGAGTAGGAATCAACTCGACGGCAACAGGTTTGGTTTTTTTTTGGTTTATGGATGGATAAGGAGCCCTGGTGGCACAGTGGTTAAGTACTGGGCTGCTAACTGGAAGGCTGGCAGCTCAAACCCAAGAGCCACTCCAAACCCACAAGTGCTACCGAGGAGAAAGATGCGGCAGCCTGCTTCCACAAAGATTACAGCCTTGGAGACCCTACGGGGCAGTTCTACTCTGTTTAGGGTGGCTATGAGTCAGAATCCACTCAATGGTAACATTTTTTTTTTTTTTAGATGGATAGGGTCCCTGGTGGTGCAAATGGCTAATGTGCTTGGCTGCTAACCGAAAGGTTGGAGGTTTGAGTCCATTCAGAAGCACCTTTGAAGAAAGGCCTGGTGATCTACTTACAAAAAATCAGCCATTGAAAACCCAATGGAGGACAGTTCTACTCTGATGCAATGAGCCAGTGTTGACTTACCAGCAACTTGGTTTAGTGTTTTCGGTGTAGATGGGTAACTGAGAATAGGATTATCAGACCAACTGTAGAAACCTCTTCAATCTAGCTTCAATTAAAGTAAGGATCCAGAGCTCTCAGAATCCAGAGACAACCTGAACAATCAAGATCCAGGAGGTCAGAAATTCAGGGCAAGTCTAGAAATTTCACCAACAGAAGTTCTGGGAACTTCACTCTAGTTGCTCCATTATTAACTCAGCTATCAAACCATTCAGTGTGTGGCCAAGAGGATCTGATTTGCCAACCTGGTGTGTGAGTGAGTTCCCCGTGGGTCAGATGCCCATCTCTGCCCAACTGGCCATCACCATACAAAAGGGTTGGGAGAGTGGGGGTAAGGTCACTCATGCTGATGAGAGCCAGAGCCTTGGGTTGAAACAGATGCTCCTGGAAAGGGAGGTAGAGAGTGAGACAGAGATCAGACCCCAACTCCTAAGTAACAGAGCCATGCCTGGAACCATGGTCTGATCCTACTCTTTCCACTGCCTCAGTCTATTAAGTAAAAGCATGGCACTGCAATTAAAAAACAACAAAAACCAACCAAACCTGTTGCTGACGAGCCCATTCCGACTCATAGCAATCCTACAGGACTCAGTAGAACTGCTTTATGGGGTTTCCTGGGCTGTAAATCTTTACCCAAGCAGACTGCCACACTTTCTCTCATGGAGCGGCTGGTGAGTTCAAACCGTAGACCTTCCAGTTAGCAGCCGAGTGCTTAACCACTGAGCCAACAAGCCTCCTTTCAAATCAAACAGACCAATTATATTATTTGTATTGAAAATCATTTTATTCATGGAACACTGAGTACCAATTTATCCCGCACCTATATATTCAAAGTGTTTTAACATTTTTAAAGCTGTAGACGAAAAAGTTTCAAACTGGAGGCACTCACGTCAGACTAAGAATGATGCGGCCAACATGGATTCTCAGGAAACAAAAGGCCAGGCAGGAGATAAGCCATTTAGGAAGAGTGTGTCAAGATGCAAACGATTTGTTCCTCTGATGACTGTGTATAAGAATGTGTATAATCGAACTGGCTGGCGCCACTGACCCGGGTGGTAACCCACCCCTTCCTAGCCAATTGGCAGGTGTTTACATTTTAAAGGACGCCAAACTGAAGCTGATCTTACCAACCATTAACCCCTTCCTTTCCTTTGTTCTCTATGTATATGGACCCCTCTCTCCACTTGAACGGTGGGCACTTTGTATTTTTACCTAGTGCTGCCCAGCTATAGCTGTTATTATTCCTCAACAAAACTCCTTCTTTGTTACTCCTAACAGAGTATTAGACTTTCTACTTTGACAAATAAAAACTGTTTGAAAAGATTTTTTAAAAAACAAAATTTGTTAGGTATAAAATTTTTTTTTCTCAAAAATCATTTTTACTGAAATAAATATTACTTTGTCCCATCCTTAAAAAAAAAAAAAAAGAAAAAAAGTAAGAAAGAAAAGAAAAAGAAATGCCAACTAAACACTGTTGGTTTAAGATAGTAGGTCCAACCCTCACTGTCTTGTCCTAATCTCAGCCCTGTTGGATCCTGATTTTATTTAAAATGTTGACGTTTTGTTTGTCAGGAGTTGTTTTTTTCTTTGTTAATTTCGATTTTAATTGTGGTAAAAACATATATAACCAAACATTTGCCTTTGCAACCTTTTTCACAATTCAGTGACATTATGTTCACTTATTATTATGCTGTTGCAACCACCACCATCAGTTTCCAAATTTTTCTGCCACCCTTAACAGAAACTCAGTACCCCTTAAGCAATAACTCCTCCTTTTTCCCTCCCACTGACCCCTGGTAGTGGAGCCCTGGTGGAGCAGTGGTTAAGAGTTATGGGGTCGGTAGTTCAAACCCACCAGCTGCTCCTTGGAAACTCGACGGGGCAGTTCTACCCTGTCCTATAGGGTCGCTAGGAGTCGGAGTCGAATGGAACGCAACGGGCTTGGGCTTGGGCGGGCCCCGGTAACCACTAATAAACTTCGGTCTCTATGCATTTGTCTATTCTAGTTATATTTCATATACGTGCGATGAGACAATATTTGTCCTTTTCTGTCTGACTTATTTCACTCAGCATGTTTTCAAGGTTCATCCATGTTGTAGCATAATCCAGCACTTGATTTCTTTTATAACTAAGATTCCATTGTATGTCTGTTCCACATTTTGTTTATCCATTCCTCTGTTGATGGGCATTTGGGTTGTTTCCACTTTTTGGCTTTTGTGAATAGTGCTGCAGTAAACACTGGTGTACAAGTCTGTTTGTGTTCCTGCTTCCAAGTCTCTTGGGTATTTACCTAGGGGTGTGATTGCTGGGTCATACGGTAGTTCTATGTTTAACTTTTTGAGGAATACTTTTGATTTTTAAAATACTGTATTAAAATATTATTCATCTTGATTACTGAGTTGTGCAGTATCCCCTCACTCCCCTCACCTAGTTCCTGCCCTAGCCAAACACTGAATTTTGCAATGTTCTTCTCTTCTTCAGGAGCAGAAGAATGATTCTTGGAAAGAGATGACTGAAGCAAAGTAAATTCTCCAGCCTGATCCTCCCCAAGGGGAGCAAAGGTTCCGAAGTCCACTGCTAATTTGGGAGTACCCCCTGAGGTCTCAATATCAACGTCCTTGGAAGAGTAGTCCCTCGCTCCCATGAGGGAGGAGAACCCTGGTCTAGGACACCTCGTTAAACCACAGGAGCGGGGCAGAGTATACCTGTCAGGCAAGGCCACAATCAGTCCTGCCGGAGCCCCTCTCCCTTTCCTGTTCAGTTCTAGAAAAGCGGAGAGAAAGTAAAACTCAGCCCTCAAATGGCAGCTCCCAGGGAAACAAACACGTCTCAGAGAAAGTGCGAACGGAATCAGGGAGAACTCTCCTACAATGCGGGTTTCTGCCAAGGTCTGGGCAAAGATGGTCTAGTAAGCACGAACAAGAGGGGGAAAAAACAAAAGATGTGGCATCGACCCAAACATTCTGTTACAGGAGAACAACAACAAAGAAGACAGCAGCATTCCAAGGCAGACAAGTCATCTAGTCTGGAAAAAACATGCCTCCAGGAAGGACGATTCTCCCCTTGTATGCTTTTGAGTTATAGGACTTAGTAAGAACATGAATTTTAATAAAAACAGCTAAAAGATGACATTAAAACTCAATGAGACTGAAAAACAAAAAGCAAAATCTCATTTCCGAGCTAAGAAACGAACTGATGCTCCAAACACTAGCACAAAACTGAAAATAAGTTAGCAATAGATACACTTCCCCAAAATGATGATAAATAAACAGCGGAATCTGCCCCTGGAAATGGCACACCATGTTTTAGGAGGAAGAGAAAAATCAACATCAGGCCCTTTCCTACTACAATTACTGGTTGTTAGGACGAGGAACAATCCCAAGGCACTCTGAGAGAAAAAGTACTCACTTCTAAGGGGCAAAGACGAAGACTGGCCTCAGACCTCTCCGGTGGAGCAATGTCTATACACAAGTGCAGAGGACAAAGGCCAGACTCCAAAATGCTATGCCCACCACTGTCACTCACGCATCAATGCTGAACATAATGGTTACACAAAGTGGAGATTAAACATCTTGTCAGTATAGTAACAATATTAGACAACAATCAGGGAAGACAGGATGTTCATAAATTTCTTCACCTTGACTAGCCGCGAGTTAATAGTTACGGAATAATGACCAAAAAACCAAACCCGCTGTTGTTCAGAAGATTCCAAATCACAGCAATCCTACAGGACAGAGTAGAACTGCCCCATGGGGTTTCCAAGGCTGGAATCTTTACGAGAAAAGGAGCCTGGTGGCACTGGTCAAGTGCTCGGCTGCTAACTGTCAAGATTTACAGCCTTGGAAACCGTAAGGGGCAGTTCTACTCTGTCTTACAGGAGTCGGAATCAACTTGACAACAATGCGTTGCTCTTAATCTTTACTAAAGCAGACTGCCACATCTTTCTCCAACGGAGTGGCTGGTGGGGTCGAACTGCTGGCCTTTCGGTTACCAGCTGAGTGCTTAACCACTGCGTCACCAGGACTCTTTTAAGTAATAATAGTTAAGTTGGTTTAATTTTAAAAAAAAAGGTTTAACATTATAAAGGAATCCACCAGATGTACTAAAAACTACAGCATAACCATCAAAACCAGCGAGTACAAGAGTGAAGGGAAGTGGAAGGATGTGTATATGTGATAAAGTTCTTCCATTTCATAACTGATAGTCAAAGATACCATCTAAATTTATTCAATCAATAGACGTTAAGACAGTGAAAATAAATGAAAGTTGTGTGTATGTATAAATTTTTATTTTCTGGCTTAACCCATGACATTCCTTTCGTTCATGAATCTGCAAACTGGGCAGGGCTCTGCGGGACAGCTCATCTCTGTTCCCTTGGTGTCTGCGGAGAGGCCTGAAGGCTGGGAGCCTTGGAAAACTCACTCACTGTGTGTCCGCACTCACTGGTGCTGGGAAGACTCACAGCTGGGGATGGAACAGCTGGGGCTCTCTAGGCATCTCTAGCTTTAACTGGTCTCTCCAGTAGCCAGTTAGGATGAGGATTTTTAGTCTATTCAATAGGCAAGCGTGATGCTCAGGGCTGGCAAGGGTCTGAGGAAATCACGGCAAGAGTGTCAACTGGCACCACCATTTGAGACGGCAATACATACCGAGATGTTTCCTTTTCTGTTTGGTCCAGCAATTCACACGGCTAAGAACTGACCCTTCAGATATAAACAAAAGTTTAGCAAGACGTGTTCAGAAGCGTCCACTGCAGCATTATGTGCTAGCACAAAACCTGAAAACTCGAGTGTCCATCGGCAGACTGTGCCGGTAAGCTGTGGTTCACACCTCACCACTTTCTTGCTAATCTGGACCACTGTCAACCACTGAAATACTCTCAACTTTTTCACACCCACTGGTGCCCCTTTTAGGGAGCCCTGGTGGCGCAGTGGTTAAGTGCTCGGCTGATAGGTCAGTGGTTTGAACCTACCAACTGCTCCGTGGGAGAAAGATGTGGCAGTTGGCTTCCATAAAGATTTATGGCCTACGAATCCCTATGGGGGCAGTTCTACTCTGTCCTATAGGGTCGCTGAGTCAGAACTGACTCAATGTCAACGGGTTTGGGGTGCCCCTTTCTAATTAATTCTTCACTGCAGCCAGTACAAACCAGATTGTTACTTGCCCCCGACCCCACCACAGCTTAAAATCCTTCAGGATGTCCCCAGTTCCTTAGGATGCTTCAAAACCCCCTGTACCTAGTTACCTTTCCAGCCCAGACCTGGACTGCCTACTCACCGGCCTTCTTGCCGTTCCTAACTCTACTTCTAGTCTCAGGGCCTTTGCATGGACTGTTCCCTCTGCCTGGATCACTCCCTTCTTTCTCTTCCTCCTGTCCTCTCTGACCACCTCAAGATAAGACACCTTCTACCCAGCTCCACAATGTATTCTCACAGCACTACGTACATCTTTCATACTTCTACCAATGCCATTTTACTTTTTCTGTGTTTAACACTTGTCTTCCTCTACCAAATCACCGAGTTTCACGAGGGCAAGGTCTCTATCTACACCATCCTTGACACCCAATAGTACCTGGCCCATAACAGACACTCAGTATTACTGGCTGAAGTGACTGCACAGTCTATAGGAAGCAATGAGGTAGATGTGTACATCCTGATACAGACAGATTTCTAAGTGGGAACAGAAGGTACTGGGCAGTGTGGAGGGTCTGCTCCTTTTTGTTTAATGAAAACACCTGACCAGTCAGGACAGTTGCTCTATACTGGACCACTGTGGCTACAGAAAACCAACAAATTTACCTCAAGTTAGAAAAGTAGGTTCACTGGGTCCTGAAACTGAAAAAGCCCAGGGCCTGGGTTTGCTTCAGACATAGCTGGACTCAGGGTTTTTAAATGACACCACCAGGGCTCTGGCTCTCTTCCCTGCTTGTCTTGGCTCTGCAGACAGTGCTTCTTTCGAGGGCAAAACGGCTGCAGCAGCTCCAGCCTCCTATCTTCCCAGGTTCAATCTGTGTGAGATATCACATGAGAAACAAAGAACGCCTCCCCCTGGGGTGGCTCAAGCAAACTGGGCCCAACGGCCCTCAGCCTAGAGCTAGATCACACAGGCCTGGGCCCTGGAACAGGACTGGCCTGAAGGTTGAGGGGCTGTAGGGCAATTATCCCACCCAAAGCACAGAACTGAAAGTGGAGAGGGTGCAGTTCATCGAAAGCAAGTCAGAGTAAAATAAAAAACTATTGCTGTTAAGTCAATTCCAACTCATAATGGGACAGAGTAGAACTGCCCCACAGGGTTTCCAAGGCTGTAATCTTTAAGGAAGCAGACTGCCACCAGAGCTCCTTCAAGTCCAGGTAGTTACCAAAATAAGAAGAAATAATGTGGCAAGGCCAAAACAAAGAAACACACATCACTAGAAGCTGGTAAATGTACCTTAAAAAAAAAAGAAAGAAATTGTTAACAGTGGTTTCCACTGGACAAAGGACTGGGGGTGGGGTAGGCGTATTTATTTTTCACTTTGTATCATTCTTTACTGTTCAAATTGTCTACCCATGTACATGTGTTATTTTTAATTTTTTAAAATCACAACTGAAATTTTTTTCAAACAATTGTAGTTCTTAAAAATGACACTGGTATATAAATTCCGTGACTCTTGCTCAGAGTAGGCTCCAATGTGTGCACAGCAAAATCAGACACCAACAGGTAGCACATCAGGTTAGTACCATACAAAATGACAATTTTAGGCACTTCATCAAAGAAAAATAAATGTTTAGAAATAAATGAGGTTATCCAGTCCTCTGTCACACCCTGCAAAGGACTCTGCTGATTCCCTATTTACACTTTAAAACTATCACATTAAATGGAACATCTAAACCCTCGATGCCAGGATTATTTTTTCCTAACTGAGGGAACAAAGTAGAACCAAGCCTGGACTTTACAGACCATGTAAAACCTACCAGATACCAAGAGCTCTCTTTAACTGACGAGAGGGATTCAAGTCAACAAAACGCAAAGTGAATACTTAGGCTTCCCAAGTGATTTTCCGTTGCCTGCACTTTTGGCACAGATTTTGGGTTTACACATCCTGATCGTATATTTAGATTTTAGTGTTCCCTGCAGTGCTCTGATCACATGTGCTAATTTCACACCTAGACATGCTCTCCTCGTAATAGGATCATGAAAACGATGTTAGTAGCATGTTGAGTCGAATCCAATTAAGTCAGGAGTTTTGAAAGCTTGTCTGAGTAGAATCTGGTATCCTTTTGCTCAGTATAAAATATGCAGCCCTGACCCAGCAGGCCATCTGATCAAGGCAGGTGCGATGAAGAGAGAGTGGGCCCAGCAGCCCGTTCACAGGGCAGGAAGTCCCCACTATAATCGCTGACTCACAAGATTTAAATGGGGAAAAGCAACACGCTCAAGTTTCCATTTAAAGTGATTCTGTAGCAAACATTAATTTCTCAGAGTCTGATATTAATTAGAAAATTTCTGTCTTTTCACTTGAAGCCTTTTAAATGGTAAGTCTTACACTGAGCACAAACTGGTCACGTGGCAGACCCTTTGTACAGCAACTAGAATGTCAGCCGGTGCACGGCTTCCCAGGCCCGCCTCCACCCTCACGAGTCCTGCAGAGCTCTCCCTGTCCCACTGCTCCTCCACAGAGCACCACGGCTGCCCGTTACAGGTCTTCTCTTTTATTCCCAGCTCGATTGTCTTCCTTTGAAGTCCGAGACTTCGGATCTCCCTCCTTCTTCTTTTTGCTCTTCTCTTGCTTGGTTTTATTTTTCTCTTTGCTTCCTCCTCCTTTGCCAGGGTATACCTGTCCCTCCAGAGTTACATCAGCACACCTGTCTTGACTGACCAAGAAGTCTTTGATCTCCCAGGCATAGCTGCCATCACGAAGCATGAAGATAGCACGGTCGGATCCCACAATAAACCTTAACAGGGAGACACAATCATACAGTCAGTGCATGTCATTAAGGTGCTTAAGAGCTCAGAGCAACTTGGTGATGCTCATGAATAATATATATAGTTTATTTCAAATTCTACAAGAACACAGACCAAAAACTTGTATTTTCTTAGGTCTAGTAACTACTAGGAGCCCTGGTTGTGCAGTGGTTAAGAGCTCAGCTGCTAACCAAAAAAGTTAGCAGTATGAATACACCAGCTGCTCCCTGGAAACCCTTTCGGGCAGTTCTACTCGACCCTTCTCATAGGGTGGCTATGAGTCAGAATTGACTCAACAGCAGCGGGTTTGGTTTTTTGGTTTTTGTAGCTACTAACATCCCAATGTTTGAAAACACCAGCTTGCTGAACTATTCAACATATCTGCTCAGATCAAACTGGAAGCACGCTAGATGCTCCTTTATAGCACAAGTGGGTGCTCCTGTTAGACAGCACTAGAAGAGCTCCTAGCATGCGCAGAGGTGACTTGGGGGCTGTGGCTGTGGTGGTAAGAAGGAGGCATCTATTTTTTTTATATTCTGAGGTTTCATCTGACAAAAGGCTGCTGCTGATAAAGTCTGAATGCCACTTGTTTAGACTGGGTCATGGCAAGAGACTCGTGAAGGGCTCAAGAGGACGCTCAGCTACTCAACAGAAATCTTAACCCCTGAGCTTAACAGCAAGCAGCCCAGGCATATCCACACACAACTGGTCCCACGGAGCAAAGAAGAACAGAATAGGGTCTGGGTGTACCCCTAGCGTGACCAGTGGGCACAGTTCTTCCGTTCCTTGAGGGGTGACACCCACACCTCCGTCCTTTGGTTTATAACACTCCCACTCTTCCACACAGACTGGGACCTCTGGACCAGTTATCACCAAAACATTTACTTATCTTCTTTAAGTGTCCATTTAAGTTAACTAAAGCATTCTGCCCTCACAGACACTGTCTAAGTACTCCTTCCATTTCTTTCTATTAGTTTTATACTTTCAAAACTAAGGCATTTGAAGACACTAAATTTCAGAACTTTGTTGATGGGGGGGAAGAAAAGGAGAGTCCTTAAAATTACATTCTCAGAACCACAGTGAGCTGTGAAAACTGGGCCCCTTCACATGAGTTATCTGTTAACAGTCTGGTCCAAAGCTTTATGTGTGAACATGCTGTTATGTGCCGTTGAGTCGATTCTGACTCATAGCAACCAACCCTACAGGACAGAGCAGAACTGCTCCACAGGGTTTCCTAGGCTGTAATCTTTACAGAAGCAGATTGCCAGGTCTTTTCTCCTGTGGAATGGCTGGTGGGTTCAAACTGTCGACCTTTGGGTTAGTAGCTGAGCACTTAACCATTGTGCCACCAGCGGTGAACATACCTACACATAAAAGCATTCTCCATTGAGTAGAAACATCTAAAGGAAGCAAACTGTCAAACTGTAACTAATTTGTTCCTCTCTTAGAGACTAGGCTATACATTAAGACTTTTACTCAGATGAAATAAAACCTAGAGATACAAAGATAAATTAAAATTTCAGGATCAAATGAAAATTTAAAAGAAGAAATTCTAGAAAGGAAAGGTTCAGGGCCCTGCTCAGCCTCAGAAGGAGTCCCACTGCAGCCTACAATGTTCTCAGCCAAGCTGCTGGTGTTTTACCTCTGGACATCGTAGTTGGCATTGAAAAGACTGCCCTGCCACAGGCTAGTGATTTCCTCCATCTCCTTCTCAGTGGGGCTTCCGGAGACAGTGACGAACATCATCAGAGTCTTCCCTTTTTTCGTCATTTTCAGTATGCTTTCAGGCTTGCCTGGATCGATCTGTGAGAAGTCGATAGGTGCTGAGGGTCTTTTGTGCTCTGGAAGATCTCCTTCTTCGATGTCATCATCTTTCTATCAGGATGGGAGGAAAAAGAAGCATCAAACCTATCGTCTCTCTTCTCAACTGGCAGAGGCAAAAATATCTGCATATTCTGTCAGGAGCAGGTACATGACCTCAGTTATAACAGGAAAAAGGAAACCCATGGGGTCTTCTCTTCTATTTGACTTTCAAACCAAGTTTAAGTTTCAGGCAGTACTTACTACCCATCACCCTAGGTTGCCAATCACAGGGAGACCCCTTGTGATGGGGTTTCCTTAGCTTTTTCTCTCAAAGAATCCACCGAATGTGGTAACTCTAATAATGGCTGCGATTCAGGTATGGTCATACAGTGAAGTGCTATCCAGCAATGAAGAAGAAATACTGATAAATGCAATAAATCTCAAAACAGAGCTACACAATCAGGGTCACAAAACAATGTATGGATAAATTTTTGTATGGGAGACTAACTTGAAATGTAAACTTCATTTAAACTACAACAATAAACAAAAAAAGAAAAAGAAGGGGAGACTAGGGGACTGGGAGAGAGAGCGGTCCCTAGGATTTTGTCCTGTTTTTCCGGTAGCTGTAGAAATTAGAATAAATCATCATCCTCCTTAAAAAAAAACAAAAGAAAACCAGCTACAGAAGCCAGACACAAAAGGAGATATGCTATACAATTCCATCGATTTGAAGTTCAAGAATAGGCAAAACTAATCTAGGGTGTTAGCAATTAGAACAGGGGTGGCCTCTGAGTGGGATGGCAGGGAGTGTGAGGCGGGACGGACTGAAGTAACAACAGAGAACTTTCTGGAATGATGGAAATGTTCCGTATATTGACAGAAGTGTGGGTTACATGGAAACCCTGGTAGTGTAGCGGTTAAGAGCTACAGCTGCTAACCAAAAGGTTGGCAGTTCAAATTCACCAGGTGCTCCTTGGAAACTCTATGGGGCAGTTCTACTCTGTCCTACAGGGTCGCTATGAGTTGGAACTGACTGGAGGGCAACGGGTTTGGAGTTTTTTTTTTGGTGGATTACATGAGTGTATCCACTTGGCAAAACTCATTGCACTGTACGTTTAAGATCTGTGTATTTCATACATATCAATTTCACCTGAAAAATGAGAATTGTAACACAAATATTCAATTCTAGTTACATTTATTTATTTTTTTTGCAGTGGTATGAACTAGCAATCCTGAAGCTACTTTCTGTGAATTCTAGGCTTGAGCAGAAGAGTAAATATATTGAAGACAAGGAGAGCCAGGTTCTTCACTTTTAGGGAGGAAGTTACAAGTATGGAAGGTGGAAGAACGTACCCTGTGGCACTGGACAGACAGTCAAGGCATCAGAAGGAACTCATGGTTTTTGACAGACAGATAAGATAGATAAAAGTATCTAAAAGGACCAGGATTTCATAGAGAAAAGGCTAACTTCAGGGCTAGAGCAAAGAAAATATAAGCTGAGCCTAGAATATCTTCTTGCTTCAGAAAGAAAGTGCTCAAAGAATCATGAGAACATGTCAAAATGAAACAGGAGCCAACCTGAAGAGCTCTCACTGGCCAAATATGGAATAACATGAACATCAGAATAAATACTGATAGTAATGACTTACAACCCAAAGGAAAAAAAAAGAACTATTGAGTCCCTACTAATAATGAATAAACTAACAGTAGAATAAGTAATCAATAGACTACAGGAATGATGGAATTAGAAAATCATCAGTATATACTGATGGATAAAAATTCGATGAGAAAGAGGATATTTACAAGGTCTCAAAGTAACCACCTACAAATTACTTAATAATTATAAAGGGAAAAATAGTAACTTTACACTGTAGAAACCTGGCAGATACCACTATAAGCAAGTCATCAAAGCTAACTTCGTCAATATTGCGACAAACCAACATCATATGCCTCTTAATAGAATGCACTATGAAAATCTGAACATAATTTCAGTGGTATTCCTACCAAAAATGCATAACCTAAGGAAACAGCAGAAAAACAAAAAATGAGAGACACGATGCAAAATAAATGGTCTTATTCTTCAAAATATGTCAAAGGTAAAGAAACACAAAGGCAGCTGAGAATTGTTCTAGATTAAAGGAGACTGAAGAGACGTGGCTTGCTGAAAGTGAAGACGACTTGAAGCACTTACTGATGAAGATCAAAGATTACAGCCTTCAGTATGGACTACACCTCAACAAAAGGAAAACACAACTGGACCAATAAGCAACACCATGATAAATGGAGAAAAGACTGAAGTTGTCAAGGATTTCATTTTATTTGGATCCACAATCAATGCCCAGAGAAGAAGCAGTCAAGAAACCAAAACACATATCGCACTTGGCAAATATGTGGCAAAAGACTTCTTTAAAGTGTTAAAAAGCAAAGATGTGACTTTGAGGACTAAGGTGTGCCTGACCCAAGCCATGATATTTTCAACTGCCTCATATGCACACGAAAGCTGGACAATGCATAAGGAAGACCGAAGAAGAACTGACCTCTGAATTATGGTGTTGGCAAAGAATGTTGAACATACCATGGACTGCCAGAAGAAAGAACAAGTCCATCTTGGAAGAAGTACAGCCAGAGTGCTCCTTGGAAGGGATGATGGAGAGACTTCATATCACGTACTTTGGACATGTTATCAGGAGGGACCAGTCCCTGAGAAGGACATCATGCTTGGTAAAGTAGAGGGTTAGTGAAAAAAAAGGAAGACCCTCAGTAAGATGGAGTGACACAGTGGCTACAACAATGGGCTCAAACATAGCAACAACTGTGAGGATGGTGCGGGACCAGGCAGTGTTTCGTTCTGTTGTTCACAGGGACGCTATGAGTTGGAACCGACTTGATGGCCCCTGACAACAACAACAGAGAGACATGACAAGTAAATACAACGCCTGGTCACGGATGAGATTCTGGACTGGAGGGAAAATACCTATTAAGGACGTTATTGAGACAAATGACATTTGAACATGGACCATGGATTATATAAAAGTATTCTATGGATGTTAATTATTGAGTTTTAATAACTATAACCGTTGCCGGGGAGTCAACTCATGGCGACCCCATATGTGTCAGAGTAGAACTGTGCTCTACAGGGTTTTCAATGGCTGATTTTTCAGAAGTAGACTGCCAGGTCTTTCTTCAGAGGCACCTCGGTCTCAAACCTCCAACCTTTCAGTTAGCAGTCGAGCACATTAACCGTTTGCACCACCCTGGTTATATAGACGGTACCTGTTCTTGGGAAATACAAAATACGAAATAAAAACAGTCAAAGCTTTTTACCCCTCCCTGTAACCATGCCCCTCTGCATGTCACTTTGCAGCTCCCCTAGGAAGACAAGCTGTATGACTTTGGTCAACTTACTTAATCCCTTGAATCTGGGCTGCTGTTGTGCCTTGTTGTGGCCAACAAGTTCCTGCAGAAACTGTATTGTAGCAGTTCCTATCTAAGCCTCAAAGGGCCTTGCCTGCTTCCGCTCACTCTCCTGGAACCACTATGAGAACAAGTCTAGGAGAAGGGCTCAGGTGGAGCAGAGACAAACCTCCTCAGCTGAGGTCATCTTAGACAAGATAGCCCCAACCAAGCCGGTAGTGACCTCAGACCACTCAGGTAATCCAAGCCCAAACTGTTCACTTTCAAAATCATGGGCTAAATAAATGGCTGCTATTTAAGACACCAAGTTTTGGGGTAGGTTGTAAACCAGCAACAGCTAACGGATAACCCACTACAAGCCCCTGATGATGAGGACCACTTGAATTTTGCTTACTCTGAGGTTCGGGAGCTTTTCTCCTATCTGCTATCCCTTCAGAGGTAAGCACCTAGTTCAACCAACAAGCATGAGTAAAGGAGAACAAACACGAAAGGGACTTTTTTCTTTTAAGATATGCCAATTGATAACCCAAAGGCAGTTTTTAATCTCAAAATAAAAAATTTCCCCACATTCTCAAGATAGCAGCAGAGTGGGGTGCACAATTTAGATGCAAAACTAAAACAAACCACAATGAAATACCATTTCATACCCCCTGTGATACAGGATTGCTATGAGCCGGAATTGACTTGATGGCATTGGGTTTGGTATTTTTGGTTTTATACCCATAAATGGAATATTGTTTGGCAATAAAAGGCACTGAAGTACTGATACTAAACATGGGTGAATTTTATGCCAAGTGAAAGCAACCAGCTACAAAAGAGGACACATTGTATGACATTATATGAAACGTCCAGAATAGACAAATCTAGAGACCAAAAGTAGATTAGTGGTTGCCTAGGGCTGAGGGAAACTAGGGGGGTGTCACTGCTAAAGGTTATCGGGTTTCCTTTTGGGGTAATGAAAATGTTCTAAAATTGATTGTGGTCATGTTTGTAGTACAACTGAATATACTAAAACACCAACAAAACGTACACTTTAAATGGGTGAATTATATGGTATGTAAATTATATCTCAATAAAGCTGTTACCAAACAAAAAAACTAAAAGGAAACCAAAAGCCCCTATGTCATGCTTACTTGGTCTTCTTGATAAGTCACTGAAGGCCCAAGGCTTAAGATACTGGCAGACATGCCAACAACTTACTGTACTTTTAGCTTTTAATAAAAGATGAGAAGAAAAGGAATTCTAAAGCAGTGCTTGAAGGTGACCTAGATTTATATCAGATCTGGGATCTTGTTTCAGCTTCACATAACTAGCTGTGTAACCTTGGATAACATCCCTTACTCCTCTAGCCTGTTTCCTCGTCTATAAAACCGAAAGTGATCTCCATGGCCCCAGCAATGTGGCCACATATAACGCACCAACCTTCTCAACTCTGTCCCCCTCTCAACTGAAGGGTTTCTTCCTCATTTTGCTTTGAAGGAGCAGTTGACGGTGACCTGTAGACAGGTGCCTGGGCTTTGCTGTCAGATGGATCTAGGTTTGGCCCTGGCTCTACCATCTTAGCTGTGTGGTCTTCGGCAAGTCACTTAATCATCTGAAAATGACTTTTCTCACCCTCAGTGGGGTTGGGGGAATAATAATAGTATCTACCTCCTAGGGTTGTTTGGGAGATTTAACGACATAACAGCACACAATAAATACTCAGAATATGTGGCTACTAGAGTCCCTGGGTAATGCAAACTGTTAACGGGACTGGTTACACATGGCTATCACTACTCCCCGCTTCTGCATTAACCCAACCCGTTGCCATCAGACTCAAAGCGACCCTACAGGACAGAGCAGAACTGCCCCATAGAGTTTTCAAGGCTATAATCTTCATGGGAGCATACTGCTACATCTTTCTCCCACGGAATGGCTGGTAGGTTTGAACCGCCAACCTTTTGGTTTAGCAGCCGAGCATTTTAACCACTGCGCCACCAGGGCTCCTTGCTCCGGCATCAGCCTCCTATAATCTAGCCTCCAATCAATCACCCTATGGAGACCACACTCTCAATGTCACAAAGGAGCTCCAGGATGCCAAATTCACAGCCTGATTCTCAGTCTTCATTCTATTCTACTTCTCCACATCTGTCAGATATCCTTAAAACACTCCTTCCAAGACTTCAGGTTGGTTCAATACCCTAGAATATCTGAGTTTCTCAAACTGATTTCACTAATGGTCATGAAATGAACTCAGTAATTCACAAGTAGCATTTTTTTAAAATAAAAATGTAATTAAATATTCCTAAGTATAGTGTATATAGTAAGGTTAAGGATTGCTTCAAGCAACTCTAATTGCCATCTTATGTTTTTGTGTGTGTTTCAGTTGCAGGAAAAAAAATGGGCAAACAGTACCCTAGATGTAGGTAACTGCCCAGTTTGGCTCTCAGACCAGAGTCCCTGGGTAGGGCAAAGGGTTAAGCCCTTTACTACTAGCGGGAAGGCTGCAGGTTGGAACTCACCCAGAGGCACCTTGAAAAACAGGCCTGATCTACTTCTGAAAAGTCACGGCCTTGAAAACCCTACGGAGCAGTTGTACTCTGCAGACACGGGGTCACCATGAGTCAGAACAGCCATAAGTCAGAATTCCACTTGATAGCAACTAACAACTAACAAAACTCTTGGCCCAAATAGGTCCCTGGGTAATCTTATCTATTCTCATCACTTTCTCTTATGCTGAAAACAATTAAATTCTTACCTCCAGGCAGGGCAGGGACCAGGGGAGGGAGGCCAACTGGGATACTCCCCTGCCCACAGCTCCAGCCCTGCCTCCAGGCCAGCCCTGCATCTTCAGCTGCTTTCACTGTATCTCCACTGATGGCAGTCAACTTCAGGAACTACAAAGCAGAACTTTTCTGCAGATCCTTTTATTCCTTCCACGGCCCCTGACAATATCACTAGCTACTATCTCTAGTGTACCTACTCTGCCCCCAGGCACTTTACCTATATCATCTTGAATCTTCAGAGCAACCCTAAAACGTTCTCATTTTATATAAGGATGAGGATTAGAGGATTAAAAAAAAAAAAAAAAAAACTTACTCAAGGTCACATGCTAAAAGGGGTGATGCTGACTCCAAACACTGACCCCATCACACACACACATCTCTCATTACACCTGGTTAACAAAATGTGAAATGAAACAACCACCAATTGGGACGCAGCATTAGTTCTAACACTAGGATTCTGTCTTCTCTCCCCACTGCACACATGTGAGGTACAGCCTCTTACTGTCAGACTGGTGGGGGAATAGTGGGGGTAACGGACTTGGTAGCCGCCACTGCAGAAGGAAGAACTGTTTCCTACGATAAAGCACCCAGAGATAGCTATCCTCCCCCACTGAAAAAACTGTGGCTACCAGGGGAGGGAGCGTACATTAGTTTGTGACTAATGTCTACACACATCAGCTCACTTAATCTGCATGGCACCCTGCAAGGTGGGATATTATCTGAATTACAAATGAGGAAACAGAGGACCACCAAGCTACCAACGGGTGAAGCTGGTTCAAAATCCCTGTCCTTTTACTACATTATGCTGTCACCTTCCTGGTCACACATTCGACCAGCTACCAAGCCGTGTTAAGAGCATCAACTCTCTCACGTTTCTCCCTTCCACTCTACTACTGTAGCTTCTAGCTTGATTCAGGTCCTCACTGTTTGTCATTTGTACCTCTGATGATCAACGTGAAGGCTAGTGTAGTAAAATGGCTATAAGAAAACAGGCTCTAGAGTCAAATGATGAATTTGAAACTCAGCTTACTTACCTCTGGGTGCCCAATGTCATCATCTAGAAGAGTGGAAAAAGCACCTCCCTCATAGAGGTGGTGACAGGATGAAATGAGATAATGTGCTCAGAACAGTCCTGTCATCGAATGAATGCTCACTAACAGAAGGGCACTTGGAAAAAGGAAACACATGCTTTGGGATGAGGTTATGGATGATTAAATATAAAATTTTCAGTATTGTAATATGTGATAATTAGAAGCCCTAGGGGCACAACTGCTGCTAACTGAAAGGTTAGTGGTTCGAACCCACCAGCCACTCCCTGGGAAAAAGACCTAGTGATCTGCTCCTGTAAAGATTAGAACCTAGGAAACCCTATGGGGCAGTTCTACTCTGTCACATTAGGTCACTATGAGTTCATATTGACTTGACAGCACACAATAACAACAAACATGCGGTAATACAACTTTTTCAAACTCATCTAAAAAAAACCAAACCCACTGCCGTCAAGTCGATTCCAACTAGTAACTACTATATAGGACAGAGGAGAATTGTCCCATAGGGTTTCCAAGGAGCAACTGGTGGATTCCAACTGCAAACTCATCAGGGACTGCATATTTCCTTCTGAAGTCCAAACCCCGAAGCATTTAAGGCGTTGCATTTGCATGACCTGGTTCCCACCAACCTTCCCATCCTAATCTCCTACTACTTTGCTTAAGATAGTCTATTCCAGCCAACCTAAATCATTAATATTACCATAGCTAATGGCTACTGAGTTGCACTGTTCTACGTTCTGTCCGTGTATTGTTAATCCTCGTAACAACCCTAAGAGGTGGGTACTACTAATACCTATTTTATAGCTAAGGAAATTAAGGCATAGAGAGGTCATTACTAGCCCAAACTCACAAATTTAAGTGGTTGTGTCCAGACAGTCTAACTCCAGAGCCTGGGCTGTAGATGTCTGCACCATTCTGCTAGTTCCCAGATACACCATCCTCAGCTCATGGTGCCCCACTAGGAATGCCCTTCTCCCTTTTCCCTTCTCCCTCTCCTTGGCCTATCTAAAATGTCATTTCCTCCATGAAGTCCTTCCTCAGGGTTCCCATAGCATCTCCTTTCTTTTTGTCTACTTTGTATCGTGGTGATTTCTATCGGTATCTACTGCTCCCGATGGCGGGATCCCTTGCTCATCTCTGCAGCACCCTCTTCGTCTAGCTCAGGGTCTGAGCATTTCCAAGGTATAGCTTCCTCATGGGGTGATGTTCTCACTTTGGCAAATCAAAAGGTTTCATTTGCTAGAGTCCAAAAAGAGATGGGGAGATTGCAAGGGACATGGTGAATGGGAAAGAATGCAGCACTAAGTGCCCTCTTCGTTAACCATCCACACACACTCAAATCTACCCCAATCTTTCCATCAGCTACTGAAAAAGATGAAAACACAGGTCTGCTTTCTTCCAATCAACTGCATTAGGTGGCATTTAAAATTCATGTCTGAAAACCTCTAACAAATGCAAACCCTTGAGATTACTGCTATACTACCCATTGCCAAGGAGTCGATTCCAATTCATGGTAACCCCATGTGTTACGGAGTAGAAATGCTCCATAGGTTTTTCTTGGCCGTGATCTCTGTGGAAGAAGATTGCCAGGCCTTTCTTCCATGGCACTGCTGGGTGGGTCTGAACTGCCAATCTTTAGGTTAGTAGGTGAGTGCAAACTGTTTGTGCCACCCAGGGACCTACTGCTATACTTAAAAAAAAACAAACAAAAAAAAACCAAGCCTGTTGCAGTCGAGTCGATTCTAACTCAGTGACCCTATAGGACAGAGTAGAACTGCTCCATAAGGTTTCCAAGGAGTGGCTGCTGGATTCACACTGCTGATCTTTTGGTCAGCAGCCTGAGCGCTTAACTACTGCGCCACCAGGGCTCCCTCCTCTGATATATAACAAAGAAATGGAAAGATAATCACAAAGTGACAAAACTTTAATGTTGAAAGGAAACTTAGGGATCATCCAGTAAAACCTCATTTTACAGATAAGGAAACTGAGGCTCAGACGGGGCAGATGACCTGCTCAAGTTACCGAGTAAGTAGAATCCAAGCTTATTCCTTCCACTCCACCAGCTATGCAAACTAACCAGAACAGTGCAACCACCTTTGGAAGGGAGAAAGGCAGCAGCATGGTTTTGACCAATAAACTTTATCTCCTTCACCATGGCCAGTGGATCTCAGTAACAAACCCCAAAACTTTAACAAAAACAAGTCACTGCTCCTTTAAACGAAAAATACAAGTTCCTTGACAGAGAGCCACGCCTCTGCTAAACTCTCCCCTAAAAAAAATCCACCCACAAAATTACAAAACTCCGACCAGGGAAATATACCAAAATAGGAAGTCTGAAAAGCCACTGATTTAAAATATGGGAGAACTCAAAGCTAGGATGACTCTTAAACGATAATCGTCACTACACGCCACTCACCCACCCCGACACAAACGGGGAACGGAGGAAACCTGGGCCTTTGCTCTTCAGGAGTGGAAACAGTCTCCGTCCCTTTTTGCAGGGCTCACTGGGCACGGGTGGCAGAGAAGTGACCAGGGCACTGAAGGGAAAGTGGGGCTGGAGAGTGAAAGCCTGACTCCTGATTGGAGTGGCCGAGAAACGCTGACAGATGGAAGAGGACACTGGGATGAGAGGCCTGGGGCGGGGGTCTCCAGGGCGTGAGGGGGTCAGAGGAGGCACGGAGGGTCAAGGGTGGCTTGAGTGGGTCAGTAAGGACTCATGGCATGAGTAGAAAGGACGCTAGAAGATCAGAAGATACTGAGACGGAGATCAAGAAGGTCAGAAGGCGAACAAGGGGGTAAAGGGTCAGTCAGAGCGGGGACTGGGACAGAGAAAAACCGGGAAGGCGAGCGCGAGCCGCGGACCTCCCACTGTTCCAGGAGCCTCGCCATGTCCGCATCATTGTAATCGCGAATATCCTTCTTCTTCTTTCGGGGTGGTGGGGTAGCCTCGCCAGGTGTTCCAGCCGGGTCTCCAGTGGCGCAAGCCCGAGGCGGAAGCAGTAGCAGCAGCACGAGATCACAGGCACAAAGCAGAACCACAGCCGTGCGCGCCCAGCTGGAGGCCGCCATCTTCGCCGCGCAGCGCCGCGCCGCCGCGGAGACCGGACCTGCGCTACAGCTTTGGACGGCCCCGGCCCCGCCCCTCCGGCCGCCGGCTTCCTGGGCCCGCCCCCGCTGTAGCCCGCTCGGGACCCGCCCACACACTCCTCCTCGTACGTGAGACCCGCCCCCCCGCGGCCCCGCCTCCCGTCCCAAGCTAGCCTACCGGACCCCGCCCCGTCCTATTTCCTCCGGCCCTCGTCTCCGGAAGCCACGCCCCTCCGCCATATTGGCCCCGCCCCTGTCGGTGGGTTTCTCTCTTTGGTCCGGCTGCGGCTTTTTGCCATTGCCTGGTAGGGCCTTTAATCTTCTTTTTCATTTTCCGTCAGAGGCTGGGCATTTTCTCTCTAACTCTCAAGGTCAGGTCCAAAAGTTCCCTCAGGGCCTCCGGGAATCGGCATACAGCGCCCCTGCGAGGCCTCTGTTTCCTCGCCTGTGGAATGAATTGAAGCTGGAAGTTCTGGGAGCTGCCCCAGCTCTAAGAAAGCCCATTTGAGGGTGTCCAACGTTTCCCGAGTCTTTTGAAATTTCCTTTGAGAACTGCCAGTTAAAAAGTTAGTGGCAGGTAGAACAGCTTTTTCAGAAGGTCATAAAGATACTGGATCCACAGCTTGCCTGTTCCTCTCCTGAACTTGAAAAAGCTTTTTAAAAAAATCATTTACATTTAATTTTTAAAATTGCTCCAGTTGCTTTTTTTTTCTGACTTTAACCTAGTACTGTAGGCTCTGACTAATCCTTTTCAAGGCTGAATCACTTTTTTTTTCTTAAAAAGATTCTGGCCAGCTTCTTAGCTCAAGTAGATACATGAGACTAAATGGGCAGCTTGTGTCCGGAGGTGAGATGAGAAGGCAGAGAGGGTCACAAGCTGGTTGAATGGACATGGGAAATCAAAGGTGGAAAGGAGAAGTGTGCTGTCACAGTATAGGGAGAGCAATTAGGGTCACATAACAATGTATAAATTTTTGTATGAGAGACTAACTTGAAATGTAAACTTTAAACTACAACAATAAACCAAAAAAAAAAAAGATTCTGGCCAGAGATACTCTAAAATTCCACTAGTTTTAAATGACTGATCTATTTTAAACTTTTAATTACATAAGACATAATCATTCACTGTAGTTGTAAAATATTCAAACATTACACAAAGTTGAAAA